AACCTCATGGGGGGATTCGAAACGATGCCCGTTGCTGTGGAAGCCGGAACCGCTACGAACCATACTAATCAGGGCGGTTCGTGGTGTCTTTAAAGACTACATATGATCGTGCCATCTTTAAAATGTACCTAATCAGCTTTAAAATAATATTTCTCAACCAAAAGTCCTTGAATGATTAAAAATCAGCGAGAAATAAAGGGTATTAAATAACGAAAACGACTTTTCCTTATCCTGTTATAAAAGATCGCTATAGTAATTATGTAGCAAGAATATTTTGAATTAGACAAGAAACCAAACATAGACATCAGTTTGGTTTCTCTAGGGTGAGCTGGGAAGTCGTTGATGGGATTATTTTTCGACTATAATTTGCGTCATTCGATCACTTGAGCACGTATACATTGTACGATTCTACTATTCAATCAGTTGATAGACTGAAAACGAAAACATATGCTTCCGATCGAAAAAAATGCCATTCGTAGGTTACATTTGCTTTTTAAAGCTGAATTCAATTTAATTTTCAAAATTCATATTAAGAAAAATGAAATCGATATAATGCAATACAAAATGTTTAAGTACTTCATCTTGAATCAGATCACCCAATAATCCAAAATTCTTAACCAAGTGGCTTATTCGTAATACATAAGGGCTTCATTCGATCTCTTTTCAGGCCAACAGTAAAATTTAAAAAAGAACTATTATTCATTCTCCGTGTATCCAAAACTCAAATTACTCTGGATTCTATTTTTAGGTCAAATATTGAGAAGCTTATTATTAATTTATTTCCGTATTTTAAATATTTTAATTAATTTAACTTGACTAAAAATGTATATTTTAATTATTTTAATTTAAGGGCAAATTTTGCATTCGATGTCAGTAAAATATAATGTCTTTTGTTAGTTTAATTTCAATTAAAAACAAAGAGATTATACGTTTCCTTTCACTCAAAATAATTTCTTCTCTTAATTTAGTACAACAGAAACGGAACTATGATTATGGGTTTTGTTTAAAATCTACAAAGAATACTTTTAATTTTATTATTTTCCTTTTATTGGAATAAAACGTAAGGTAGAAATCAATGTTTATTTAGTTTTATGAAGAACAGTCGTGACAATAAGTTTTAATTACAGTTAAACTTAGACAGACTCTGGCCTATATTTCTTGGCTTATGCCACAACATTCGCTCAGTCATAAACTTATGCAAATTTAAGACATATGGCATATTTTAAATATAGCTTTGGTTTGGTTTGGTTTATTTAATTATGGCAGAGCACGCGGGGCTATCTGACAACACTAAAGGAAGGGATGCTTTTGTGGAGAATTTTCTAAGGCAAACTAGTTCGTATCAGCGATATACATGGGGAAAAGCACGAAAACGACCGTACAACTAGCCCATTCGCCTGGAATTAAGCCCAACTACCAGTGTTCAGCGACTTTACCGCTCGGCCACTGGTGGACTGTATTTTAAATATAAGAGTTCAGCCTTAACTATGGGCCTATAACAGCCTTCGCCGCATTGGCGTTGTTGAAAAATAGCTCCTGATCAATCCATAGAAAAATTAGATAATAGTTGTGCTACTCGCAAAGTGATTTTAAGGTTTATACGTAGTATAGACCAGCAAGGTATTTAGTTATGAATTTAGCTTCGAATCAGAAGTTTATTTTATATAAATTTGATCATTAGGTATACGGCAGCTAGTTTATCATTGTAATAGTTTCACAATTCTGTTTTAGTTCGTGTTATAACTTTCAGCTTCAAACAACTAAACGAATGGCTTGGTTAATTTTATTTTTAGTTTAGTTTGACGAGTTTTATATTCACAGACTGAAAGTTGCTATGAGCGAAATTTTACCCACGTGTTAAGAAACGTGTGCGGGTTTAGTCACTAGGTTGAATTTTCACTTTTGAAATAAATTCAGAACACGGTGTCAGAGAATAGAGCGTGTTCATTTTGCTCTATGGGAATAAACGTATTTACATTTTTAATTACATGATTTTTATAGAAACAAAAAAGATAAATGAATAAATAAAATTCTGCCATTTTCGTTAAGTCTTTAGAAAAAAAATATCTAATGAATTTCTTTAGCTTTCAACTAGTCTGTGACTCCAATAAGAGTGGTATTTATAATTCTACCGTACAGTAAAAAATTATTAATATTTCGAGAAAATTAATCACATAAATTCAGAGCATGATCCTACAGATGTAAATTCTGAAGACAAATGTTTTAGTCTGAAAAACCATAGGTTTCAAAATAAAGAAACATGAACTTGCCCAAATAATTAAACACTTAGCTAAATAATATAAACTTAGTTAAACAACACTATCTTTTAAACACAGATCTGGAGGAACTGAAGCTCCTTCATGTATGTGTTTAGATCTCTGCATTGAAAGGAACAAAAATTTCGAGAGACAGAGAGCACTTCACAAATGCTTAAATCTACACCACAGTATTTATAAAAGTCGGTCTTCCCCGCCCTTCAGAAAAAGATAAAGCTAACGAACGGAAATAAGAAGAATAAAGCAAAGTCAAGATTTTGCGAAAGCAAACTGAAACGAGAAATATATTTTAATCGAAGGAAAGTGTTTCCTTTTGATAAAGCTTATTGGAAACGAAAAAGAAATATTAAGTGTGGATTGCTTAAGATTAATTATGGAATGCTCTTCATCAAGCTTTGATACTTTTATCACGGAGTTTTTCAACATTGTAAAGTGGTATATTTTTGTTAATTTTCGAAACTTGGCCGCGTTTTTGCAATGCTTTTTGTGTTTTGTTACAAGAATTCAGGAAGCCACCAGCTCCAGCGGCCGAGCTGCAAAGTCGCTGAACACTGGTAGTTCGGTTCGAAGTTCTAATCTAGGAGAACGGACTGGCTGCATAGGCGTTTACGTGGTTTTCCCCAAACGTAAGTTTATACGAGCCACTTTCTCTTAGAAAGTCCTCCCCGAAGACATCCCTTCCCTAGGAAGATAGCCCTCTAGTGCTTTACCATAAATAAATAAACCGAACTAATACAAGAATACGACAGGGAACACGACCATTACGTCAGTTGTAGCCATGAAACACGAGAAACTAACTGTGCTTTCGGTGGTTTTCTAACTGCGGAATTTACAATATTACTTACAGCAATATCGCACAGCACGCATAGGTTAACGCAATAGTTTTTAAAAACAAATTTTTCTAATCAGTATAAATCAATAAATTTTAAAACTAATATTCTATGTTGAATAATAGTCTGAGAAAAGCTAAATTATTATAACTTTCAAATAGAACCTATTAAAACTTTTTCTATCATAAACAACGCGGAAGTTCATTTTATGCGTTAGGAAAAGCTAGACTCCCATTCTCCATTAATAAAGTTACGTAATGTGTTCTGAAACATCTAATGACAAAGCGAGATAATTTATCTCACAATTTGCATATATATATATCCCTTATTATACAGGTACAGGATTACCATTTTGTGCCGTAAAGCGACTTAAAATAATGAAAAATAACTGTTAGCTAGCAATCCCCCTATTGAGGTTTGTACACGTTGCTTAGGGAATAAAATTAATAACTAGAAGCTACATCAAAGAATAATGGCAAGAGTAAATGTGCAGAAATTCTAATTTTATCATACTGATTATTCATTTTTTCCTATTTTTCTTTTCTTTATAATCATCGGCTGGACAATTGTTCCACTCTTGCATATTAGCCTTAATTTCCATTCAACGGAGTAATATAATATGACAAGATATGAGAACGAAATAAACCGATAATATGACAAAAGAATTCATCTACCTCTTTCTACTGAAAAAGTAACAAACAAATTCAACTTTCAGCGAAAGTTAAAAATATTCTGTACTTGGTCTAAATTCTAAATGGAAAAGGTAAACACATTTGGAAAGACTAACATCACGTTTTTCAGTATCCTGATCAGGATAAAGATATTAATGCTAACGATATTAGCTCTGTAAAGTGTATTTTAATTTAACCATAGAACACTAGTGTACGTAAATTTTACGTGCTGTCATCCTTTATTGGTTCCTTTCTGCCCTTTCCTTTTCACCTATACATTTGTTTGACCTTGAGTGCTTCGAGGGGTCATGTAGTTGGCTGCATGCCATGTGGTTTGATTTTTTCGTCTGCGGTTCATTTGTCTCGTTACATGACGTGAATAGCTCAGACGTGAATTTTACGTGTCGCTAGTAATACTCGAAATTTTGAACACGTAATTTTTCGTGTCACTAGTAATACACGACTTTTTAAATACGTAATTTTAACGTAGTCCTAGTGATAGCGTCTGTTATTTTTAAATTTGTGAGCGGCATATATAAATGTGTTTCAAATCTTATTTCATACTGTGTTGAAAAAATGGCGAAACGCCGCAAATATTTAACGAATGAAGAAATTCAAGCAATGCTTTTGGAATCTGATGAAAGTGAAAGTGGTGATAATGTTGAATTTGATGAAGATATTGATGACAGTGATGCTGATCCGGATTATATTCCTGATGATAGAATAGAGATTGATCCTGATTTAGTGATTGATTCCCCGATACAAGATATTGAGTGCAGTAGTGATATGGACATGAATTAAATGTTGAAAAGAAAAATAGAAAGACTACAAATATTGAAGATACAAATGAACAAGGGACATATTATATTTCTGGATGCTGACTTAGTAAAATGAGTAATAAATGGAATAAATGAGTGGTGTACGAAAATTAATGACACCACTAAACAGAAAACCAGCGCAAAAAATATAGTTCATATTAGACCAGGTCCAGTTGCTGAGGCTCGATTTGCTAAGGAACCAATTGATTGTTTTAATTTGTTTATTTCCGATGTAGTAAAGGAAGAAATACTTACACAAACGCAGAGATAAACAGAAAGAAGATAGGTTATGCCAATGCTACGGATGGTTCCCTAAATAATTTAAATTATGATGAACTGAATGCCTTGTTTGGAATATTAATACTTTCTGCAGCTTTAAAAGATAACCATTTGTCAACAAAAGTTATGTTTGATGTAACTTTTTCTGGTGGAAGGTATAGAGCAACATTTTCTGAGAGACGCTTTTCATTTCTTTTGGATTGCTTAAGATTTGATGAAAAAGACACAAGGGAAGAGCGTAAAAAAACTGATAAATTAGCTGCTATTCGCCAAATATGGGAAATTCTTATTGAAAATTGTAAAAAATATTACAAACCCAGTTCATACACGACTATAGACGAGCAGTTGATTGGATTTCGGGGAAGGTGTCCTTTTCGCATGTACATTCCGTCAAAACCCAACAAGTACGGGATAAAAGTGATAATGATATGCGACAACAGCACTAAATACATGATGAATGCGGTCCCATATTTAGGAAGCGGAAGTGTACCTAGAGGAATGGTTGCAGCAGACTATTTGTAAACAAACTGACCGAAACTATCAAGAACAGTAACAGACACGTAACAATGGACAATTGGTTCTCGAACGTGCCTCTTGGCTGTAAAGATGCTAAAAGAAGACAAACTAACAAGTGGTTGGCACGATAAAGAAAAATAAAAGGGAGTTTTCTTCCGGAATTTACTGATGTAAAGTATCAAGAGCGAAAGAATGGTTCTAGTTTGTTTTTATTTCACGATGAAGTCACTGCAGTATTCTTACAAAGCAAAGAAAAAACTTGTGACTTTAATATCAACGATGCATTCTAACTCAGAAGTTAACCAGTCAACCGGAAAACCAGAAATAGTTATGACATACAATTCTACAAAAGGTGGAGGTTGACTGTTTTGATCAATTGTGTAATCATATGAACTGTGGCAGAAAAACCAAAAAAGATAGCCAATGGCTTTTTTCTATAATATTATAAATATAGCAGGAATAAATGCATACATAATTTATTTGCATAATTTTTACAGAGATCGAACTTGGAAATGGAATGGCATTATCAAGATTGAACTTCATGTTGAAACTTCATTCAACAATTATGTGAAAAATGGCAACTTCAACATCTAAATGTTCCAAATCTGTCAAGAGAATTGAAAGATATATAATCACAAAAGCGTTAGGACAGGAACCACAGATTTTAGAACTTCCCCAAAATCAGCAAGGTCTTCGAACCTATTGCAGCTTTTGTGACTATAAAAAAAAGAGAATGACAACCACCTACTGCAAATGTGGAAAAGCTATATGTGGAGAGCACCAGATGAAGTCATGTCCTTCTTGTGTATAGACATAATTGTATTGGTAACTAATTATTATGTAAATTTATTTTTTAATTGTGTCAATTATATTAAATTTAAAAGGCGAACAACTTTTATTATAGTTTTTTTTTTTTTTTTTTTTTTTTTTTTGTTTTGTTTTGTTTTCGTGGTTTTTAAGTCTATTATTAATTGATATTTTAATATGTGTTATTTAAAATAAAATGTGCTAAACTATATTTTATTTATATTTTATCTATCAGTATACATTTTTATAGTTTTCAATTATATTTTTAAATACAATTAATTATCAAGTTTATGAAAATTTAGTAATATTGGGTAAAACAGCAAATAAAAACATATTTAGAAACATCATTAATGTAATATAAGTAAAAAAATGAATTTTAAACGAGCACGTAAATTTTACGTATCGCTAGTGATAGCGGCATATATAAACACGCTAGTGTTCTAGGGTTAATAACAGTTATTTTTAATTTTGAAACCCAATTCTTGTTTCCCACTTAAAATTCCCTACCAGAATGAGATTTTAGAATCGCGTTGAATGAGAATGAGTTAGAAGTATTATTTAAAGGAAGTTCAATTTACTTCGGAAGAGAGTGCTATGAGACGTATTAATGGCGCGTATTTGCCTTCTTACTACTTCGTTCTTGAATCTATTACTCTCGGCCGTATTATATGTGCCTGTTGATAATCGCCGGTTAGTTTAAATTAAGGGCTAACTACGTTAGATATTTGTGTCTAGCTTCGGATAAGTCTATTTGGTTTAGTATTAGATTAGTTTCTTAATTTCTTATCCTGATTTAAAAGACGGAGTGGAGGCTTTGCTGTAAGCCCAAGAAGGGGACCATCTATTATTGTTTGAGTGAATAAAAGGGTATTTTAATCCTTGTAAGTATTTCTCCCGCCTTCCTACCGTGCCTTCGGAGTGTAGTGGTTCTGCACGCTGAGCCGGTAGTCCAGACGTCTGTGGTCCGATTGCCGGCGAAGGCGATTGCTAATTTTTCATCTCTCCGGCTTCAAAAAAACAACCTAATGTCTCTACACAATTCTCGAGTTTACGTTGTAAGTACTTGAACACAGCAACAATTTGCTACTTAGTTCACTACGTTCTTCGATATTAATTATAATATCAGCTAACGCGTAACTCACGCATGTTTCAGTTTGATTAAATTCTGCACCATAATATAATTGTAAAGTTAAATATTTACTATTTCCAGGTTCAGAAATTAGGGATTAATTTATGATTAATTCTTAACCGATCATATTTTGGTCAGCCCGACTTTCATGGTTTGTCATCGTAGTAACCGACGGACACATTTCCTGCATCTTGGATAAGGCATAGCCACTTGTAATATCACCACCGCGGGGCACTTTCGAAGATGTTTTGGGCGATAAAGTTGATAAACTCGGTTATTCTTCGGAGAGAGCCTCATCGACAAGAATCAGGTTGTTGAAAAAAGAAGAAAGGATTATCATTCCAATGATGACTTTTCGTTACTAGTAGTAGAAGTTCAAAATAATACTTATTGCTAGCGTTAGAATAATTATATTTAACAACAATCAATTCCGTTGAGTTAGAAAAGAAACTTATTCAAGTAGTCAGAATATTCGTTACTTTAGCTCCACTTTTCGATAATCTGTAGGCCCAAAAAAACTGCTATTGATTCTCTATCATTGCTCCACGTGAAAATTTTCGAGGAGTCCTTTGTTCATTTTCTTCAGAGATGGAACATTTGAATTCTGAATCCTAAAAATCTTTAAAAAAATCAAAAATTGAAAGTTCGAATCTGGTACTGTTTCTCTCAGTTGAATCTTTCAATTCCTAACTTAAGGACCCGTCAAACTTTTAACTCAAAACTCTGAAAACATTAGTTTTGTCGAAGTCGAATAGAAGCATCAGTTAAAAATCACTAACGACACTGTTAATGTTCCAGGGTACGTTTTTGAAAAAAATGCAACTTTTGTCATTTGTCAACAATTTTTGATAACAACACAAGCTACTGTCTGCTACAAAATCAAATATGGCAGCTATTGTAGAAACATCGTGAGTGCAATGTGACTATTTCTATTGCTCTTGCTGCTACGTTCTACTATGAAATTTTTAATACGAATTTGGTACCTGCATTTCACTATACACGATTGAATTTTGCAAACTTCTAGCTACTGTATCTTCGGTTTATATTTAATTCTAACTTTAAGAATTTCTGTTGCTAACTGTACTAAGATGGAAAATATCTTCTTGTTAAATACTAGCAGGTAATATAAATGAAAACTAGTAAGTGCAACTGATACAATGTTTCTCAACCTGATGATAAGTGTACTTCTGAGGATACGAGATGGTTTAAGTTAGAGATAAGCGATAAAAGTATTAGTAATGGATGAAATTGCAAAATATTAGAATAACTGCTGATTTAAAAAAAGAAAATATTTAGGAAGTTAAAATTTGTCATTTGAAAGCAACTGTGAGGATTTCCGATGTAAGCTTCACTGACCAAAATGCATACAAGAGGAATGTTACTAGTTGTAGTTAACCTCATCCTCACATGTATTGTTATTTAGACCCTTACGCGTGTAACCATCCTTCCCTTCGCAGCTCTGTTATTGCGTACCATCGATAAAAATTATTAACCAATCATAATTTCTGTATTGAGTGAAGTATTCAATTAATTAAGTACAATGTTATTTCTTTACAATTATGTTACTGAGACTAGTCTGAGTCTGATTGAGTTTTGTTTTATATTAGTTTGCACTTTTTATTTGTAAATATAGAGTGTTTACATAAAAGTGTAAAAGTTGTTAAAAATTTTCTCACAGTTCTAAAAGTACAGTAGCTAAAAGCTGTCAAACAGCTAAACAAAAGTGTTGTCTGCTCCAAGCACTTTTTGAGGCTATAAGACTAGCCATCTCAGTTAAGCTTGAATTTGACAACAATGAATGACTTCAGAGGCTTGAATACCATCTGATATTTTTTTCAAGAAAAAAAGTGAACTCAGTGTAGGATTATAGGAAAGTTCTATTTCTGTTTTCAAAGTACCTGGCAAAACTGTTTCTGTGATAGAAATGCTACACGATTTGTAAAAGCCAGTCCAAAATTATCATTCATAACAACTTATTTATTTTATTTTCCTAGTATTATCCGTTGTAATTTATTAATTTTACAGCATTAAAATAATAGTAAGGCTATATTGCAGAAATATTGTATGTAGAGTTTAGGTTTGGAAGGGGATTAAGAATGCTCTATAATTACAATCTTTCTAAAGGATACGCGAAATAAAAGATGTTTGATGCCGCTGAGCTAATAAGAATTTTTTTTGAATATTCGACATTAACTGTATACTTTATAAGGTAATTTCTTTCTTCTTACCGCGTGTCTGCCTGATTTAACTGGATAGCACGTTCGGCTAGCATCAGACGTCCAATGTTTGAATTCCGGCGAGGGCATTGCATATTTTTCACATCTCTTGCATCGATTAACTTAATGACTCTACAAGTGGCGGTCGAACTAAAAGAGGTACACGATAAATCGTCAGCACTAAGATATGGCGATCGGATTCCTTTATCCACAGACTTTAAAAGCTGCAGTATGTAATGCATTTTTTCCCTAATTTCAGCCTGCGTTCATGGTATAACTGCATGGTACATCCGGCTAGCATCGAGAGGTCGGCTCTAAAGTCATTAGCTTATTTTGAAGCGGGAGATGCGAAAAATATCCAACACCCTCACTAGGACTCGAACCTAGACCTCTCAAATATGGGTCTAGTGTGCTACCATTACATCATGAAGATATCCTGGAGGGAGGGATAAAATAATTAAATCGTTCAGGTGCTCATTCTTATATAACCTCCTTTTAAAGGGCAACTGGAGATTAGGGGACGTAATCGCCAAATCGTAATGGTGAAGAATCATCATCCACCAACTTATAGTTCGGGTGCCACTGTGCAGTCTTTTTTTTTTTTTTTTTTTTTTTTTTTTTTTTGAAGCAGGAAGACGCGAAAATGAGCAATGCCCTTGCCGGGACTCTAACCTGGACCTCTCGAATACGCGCTACCGTTACACCACGAAGGCATGCAGAAGGGAAGGAAGAAGGAAAAAATATCGTATACGGTGTTCGAATCTCACCAAGATCAGAATTCACTGCACACTTTTTGTATCTCTTGCATCTATAAACCTAATGACTCCACAACCTCATTACTAAATTTTATTTAT